ACCTCTCCACTCCCCAGCCCACTCCTGATGCAGGGCAGCATGCCTGGCTTTGGACATGGGCTTTTTGCTGCTGCCACTAATCTGGTGACTGCCCCCCTACAGCCCACCAGCGAGGAGGACCTGTGCCCCATCTGCTATGCACACCCCATCTCCGCAATCTTCAGACCCTGCTCCCACAAGTCGTGCAAGTGAGTAGTGCACAGACATGACCCTCACTGGGGTGATCTCCAGCCCCAGGCACCCCCATGCCATGGCTTGGGGGGAAGGGCTCACACTCTTTTTTCCCGTGTTCCAGAGCCTGCATCAACCAGCACCTCATGAACAACAAGGACTGCTTCTTCTGCAAGGCCACCATCACAGGGGTGGATGACTTCACCAAGCCAGCCAGCTCATAGTGCCCAGCCCTGCACCACGGGCTCCCCTAGCTGCGCAGGGCGCTTCCCCCCACCCCCCAGCACACACACTGTCTTCTCCCCTCATGCAGGGCCAGGGCCCAGCATGGGACGTGCTGTGGGTCAGGGAAGCCAGGCACTGGGGCTGGTGTCCCCTTGCCCAGCACCCTGGCAGCCTCTGCCCCACAGGCCATTCTCAGGGAGGGGAGCCCGAGGCCTCGGCTCTGCTGGGACCAGGAGGCCGGGCTGGGTGTTTGGGCTGTGAACTTGCCCCTGGCTGGGGGCCGACTTCATGAAATGCAGCATTAAATTATTCTTCCTTATGTGGTGCCCTGAGACGTGTGGAGGGGAAGCCAGGCCAGCCAGTACTTGGGGCCATGCTCAGATGATGCTCAGGGAGAGATGGAAATGTAAATATTTAATCCAAGCAGAACCAGGAGTGCAGGGCCCACCAGGGGCTGCTACATGATGATTCGTGGCTCTGGCACCGACTCGGTGATGGACTTGTGTGGCAGCACGTTGGCCCCATTGAGGTAGAGCTCGTCGTTGACAATGACGTCCTCGCCCAGCACTGTCACATTCTCCATGCGCACCTGCCCCAGAGAGGCCTCGTCATGCTCCTGCTCCTGCCTGCTGGCACATCCCTCCATCCCTTCCGCCACAAAGCCAGGAGGTGGGACAAGGGGACAAGGGAGGGCAAGAGCCGAGCCCCAGTCCCCTGCAAGGGGTGGACACCCATATCCTCACCCACTGCCCCACAGAGCAGCTCCAGCCCACGATGCAGGACTCCAGCCAGGAGTGGGAGCGGACGCGGGCCCCCTCCAGCACGGTGCAGCGTTTGATGCGCACCCCGTCCTCCACCACCACGCCAGCCCCGATCGTCACGTTGGGGCCAATGACACAGTTTGCCCCAATCTTGGCACTAGGGTCCTGGAAGGAAGAGGGGCTGTGCTGGGGCCAGGAGGGCAGCTAGAGCTGTTGGCATTGTCCCTGGCATGGCCCCGCCACTTGGCCAGTGTGGGGCCACGAGGGCACAGCTTGAGGACAGCAGTGAGAGGACACGGTGAGCCTGTGACACGAGCCCAGAGCCAGTGTGCTGGGGGCCAGCACTTACCACCAGCACGTTCCCTACAACACCAGGCCCCGAGTGCAGCTTCTCAGGGTGCTGAGCCCGCAGTGCCTGCAGGTACATGCACATGCCTGTAAGGAAGTCCTTGGGCTGCCCAATGTCCATCCAGAAGCCTGTGGGGATAGAGCCACAGTGACAGCCCCTGGCAGAGGGGCAGCAGTGCAGGCAAGACCCCAGTGCTGCCCGCAGCATGCATAGAGCCTTACCCTGCAGCTCCATGGCATAGAGCTGCCCGTCCTGCGCCATGGCCGGGAAGATCTCCTTCTCAATGGAGGTGGGGCGCAGCTGTGGGGACAGGACGCAGGGCTGAGGGGGGGCCCCAGCCCCCCCAGCCTGGCCCAGTCCCCCCAGGACCCTACCTGGATGCGCTGCAGGATGCCCGGGCTGAAGATGTAGAGCCCGGCATTGATCTTGTTGGACACGAAGACACGTGGCTTCTCCACGAAGCGGTAGATGCGGCCAGTGTTGGGCTCGCTCACCACCACGCCGTACTTGGCCGGCTCCTCCACGCGGGTCACCACCAGCGAGCCCTCGCCGCCGTGCCGCTGGTGGAAGTGGGCCAGTGCCGCGAAGGGGAACTCGCAGATCACGTCACTGTTGAGGACAAAGAAGGGCTCCCCACCCTCGGCCAGCAGGTCCCGCGCCAGTGCCAGTGGCCCCGCTGCCCGGCCGTGAGTGGCACCACAAGAACAAGGTGAGCCCACTACTGGTGTCCTCCTGGTCCCGCCTGTGCCCTTCCCAGCCTCCCTGCTCCCCACTGGCCCTCCTAAGTTCCCTCTCCCCCCAGATCCCTGCCCAACCCTGCCATCCCTAGGCCGTCCTGTACCCATCCTGATGTCCCCGGTCTCCCTCATCCTACCCACACCCATCTTGGCGTACCCCTTCCACTGTCCCCGCTCCTCCCAGCTCTGCCTGCAGGAAAAACCTTCCCCCAAATCCCTGCTCTCTGCTCCTTTTGGTACCATCTCTCCTGCATCACGGCCGGGTTCCTGGCAGGCTCCGACTGCTTCCCAGCCCTTCCCACTGCCTTTCCAGCCCTGACTCTACCCAATTTCTCCAGAACTACCACATCAATGACACTGTCAGGTCCTTCCACTTCAAATGTGCTCTCCAAAAATCTGTGCCAGGGCTGAGGGTGCATTTATTTGTTTTTTAACCCCAGCCAGAAGGAGCTGGGACGTGGTGGAGCTCGAGTGCTGCGCTGGGGCGAAGAGCATCGTGGACTCTACACGTACTGGGCACTTTGAGGAGCTTGTTTTGGTCGTGGCAGGGAGAACAGCAGCAATTTTTAGCACAGGGGTGTTGTACAGCATGAATAATTCACCTGACAGAGGCTGCTGAGAGCACGGGGGGGAGCTGGCTGTGCTGCTGCACCTGCAGGCAGCCAGGGCTTGCTGCCCGGGGCTGGATCAGCCCCTCCCCAGCTCATATCTGCTCCGTGCCCTCCTCCCTGTGCCAATGTCCCCGGTCCCTCATCCTACCCACACCCATCTTGGCGTACCCCTTCCACTGTCCCCGCTCCTCCCAGCCCTACCCATTCATACCCACCCTGCTGTCTGTGCTGCCCGCCTCCCAGTGTCACCAATCCTACTCGCACGCTGCTGCTCACGGTGTCTCTTCCCAGCGCCCCCATCCCTGCCCATTCCCTCCCCACTGTCCCCCCCTGTCCCCAGACCCC